AACATGGAGTCCTCTAGATTTCGGCCTCCTTGCACCAAGTGGCTCCTACCAACTTTTCAATTACTGCTGCCCGGGCGAAAGTAATGGCTGAAACTGAAACAGAAACAGGGGCGAGCAACAACAACTGCCAGCTGGCAAATGGCACATTTTGTGCTTAATTTCATTTCCGTTTAGGTGCCGCTCCAAAAATGCCATTCGTTTTGCACTGGCGAAAAAGGGAAAGGGAAGGGGAGGAAAGACATAGACAGGAAACGCGGTCCATACTGCGCAACAATGAAGCGCTTGGGTAACGCTAAATTTCATTTTAAAAGCATTTTCATTTACATTTTGTCCATTTGATTTTGCCATTGAAATTTCGAAGCGAAAAACTTTTCCGCCGGCAAATTTTATTGTTTCGCCATTATTACAGGTGAGAGTGTGTCTGTGCGCGGGCCCCAAAACAGTTTTATGACCCCAACGGTAAGGCACTCCGCACAGGATCCCAGGATCTCCGCATCTCGCCTCCTGATGGGCTCCCTAATCCGTTTGTGCTTTTAGTGGCGGCCAAATTTTAACGACGCATCTTCGGAATTTGTTTAAGAAATCTATAAGAGCGCAGCACATTTCGTTATTGCCGTTGGACTCCCCTTTACAGCCATCCGAATGCACCCGAAAAAATGAGTGCCATAAAAACTTATAATAAACATTGTTTAAGGGTATCTCATGGGATAAGGAATTATTTTTCTTTTTAACCTTTATCTAACAGTGACAGAGAAATAAAATACTTTATATCACACATTTCTGAAATCTTTTAGGAAAATATAAAAACACTGTCACTCTTTTTTTCATTTATGGCCTTTAAAAATTATAAGCTAATTAATTATAAGCTAATTAATGAAATTAAATAATTGAAAAAATGACAAAAAAAATTCAAAAAAAATGTATACTCTTTTGTTTAATTTTATCTCACAAAATTAGTAAATTAATTTTGATATCTTTCTAAAAAACATTTTTTTTTTAATTTTATTATTATTTATTATGATAAAAATTGCAAAATAATGTATCTTGTTTTGGGTTAATTACTTCACAAATCTAACAAATACATTTCCGAAAAATAAAATTTAAACTTTAATATTAATTTTAATTTCATTTTTCCTTCACTTACAGTTGTTATCAAATGCATACAAAACATTTTAACCAGTGGGGCTGATAGTGTTAATAAAAATTTCTTTTTTGAAATAGGATAATAGGTTTTGAATTATATTCTATTCTTCAACATTTATTTCTCCCAGTGCAAGTGATTTTTCACTTTGTCTGCTTTTGGCTGCACCCATTGTTTGTATTTCTTTTTGCCCCTTTGTTGTGTTTCTTTTTGGTTTTTATGCGCGACGCTGGTTGAACGCTTCGCTGCTTTGATTTGCCTTGCTTAGCCGCCTAATACGCCCCTGACCGCCTGGAACGGGCTCCCCTGACCTTTATCTCGGCCATTGCAGGATACTCCGGCCAAAGTCCTTGGACGGGACACAGAGCGAACTGAAACTGAAACAGGAGCAGAAACAGAAGCAGCACTCGTGCGCACTTCGTGCTACAAAGCAACAAATCGAGTTTGCGAATAAATGAAATTACTTTTCGGTCTAATGACCATCATCTGCTGATTTTATTAGATTTGTTTCCCTTTGCCCTGTGTTTGTTTACGGCTTCTGCTGCTGTTTCTCCAGCATTTCCCAGCCACGGTTGCAGCATCGAACTGCTCGGCAAACTTTAAATGACTTTTGTGCCCAATCGCTGTGAGCAAAGTGTTTGATAAGAGACGTGTTACCTTTCGGATGGGGATTGTTACCAAAATGTATTATTGTAGGTATAAGTCAAAAGAATATTTGCCTTATCAGCACGGAGTAGCTAATTTTTGGGTTTTTATTACACTAAAAAATTGTTGTTATTCAAGCCTCTAGAAAATATACATATTTATGTGAGAAAAATGTCATTAAAATGTATTAACAAAATAATAAAAAAATCAATGCAGAAAAATAATACATATATATGTATCTTTTGCCAATAAATATTAATAACCAGTCTTCTTAGTTTTTAATTATTTCTTTTCAGGATATCATTTTTCCTACATTTTTTCCAAGTGTTAAATTTGAATACGGCATATTTGTGTGGGTTTTTCCATCCAACTTTCCCTAACCTGTCACCTGTTGTTGTTGTTTTTGATGATTTCCCTGCTGTGCTGGGCCTTTCTTTTCCCCACTTTTATTTTTCCTTGGCTTCCCCCAAAACTGACATTTCATTTTTATGAAACATCTTATTTTTCTAATTTGCAACAGCAGGTGTCGCCATTTTCTGCAATTTTGTGTTTATATGGGAAAAGTGCTGCTGCTGCCTTTCCCTGTTTCCCTGCTTTTCCGCAACACCTACGCCGTGATGTTGAGCGGGTGTAAATTCAGTTTACTGTAAAATTTAATAGAAAGCGAATTTTCCCCACAGCAGCTGTGTATGTGTGTGTGCGTCTGGGGGCAACAGTGCGTATGTGTGTGCGTGCAAATTGGGGTCTTTTGTTTATAGTGTTTCACATGTTTGCATATAAAGTGAGAATTCCTGTAAAGCATGCTGTAAAAATACGTTTAATAAGCTACAAGACGGCTTGTATTATCCCGCTCGCATTATGTTTTGAAGTTCCTGGGGGGCTCAGGGGTTATGGGGACGACTTCCAACCGACCTGACGTCCTTATTAATTCATAAAACGCCAAAGCGCCAGGTGTCGTTGACGATATGACTGAGCTTGGAATTTTCGTGTGTTCTTAAAAGTCAAACAGCGAAATTTGGAATTTTTTCTCCCCCGCCCGAAATTACCAATAAAAACAATAGCCGAGAACACAAAAAATAAGAGCAATATCTACATGGCTACTTGCATATGTATGCAGGGGGAAAATCATTTGCCCCAAGTTCCCTCCACCTAGGATAATTCGTTATCTCTGGGGCGTATCAAAATCACGCTTGATTAACTTTTTCGAGCCATTTAACAAATAAGCAATAAAATCCGTGCATTTCCTTAGTCCGTGTCCAAGTCGGGACCCCGCCCACTTAACCCCCTGCCGCCCACGGGGGCAGCCTTTTCAGTGTTCGGTGTTGTCTTGAGCAAATTGCCATTTTGTGTTCAAATGAGACGTTTATGTTTTTTAATTTTTTTTTCTTGCTCCCGGTAATGGCCCATCGTCAACGGGGTTCAGCTGAGGGCAATCTGGCCATCGGGGATTTGGATGCGAAATGGTTTTCATTGCCAGTTACACAGCAGAATTTCATTTTATTTGCTTGAATTGCATGCTTTGGTTATTCTAATTGAAGACAAATTAGGCGTATTTACTAAAGTAAATGGGACTAATTAATTTTTTGGGTCAAAGAACAATTCATTGCATTCAATTTAATGACACTTTTGACACTTTATATTAGTTGTATAAGCTAATTTCATTTTAAAATTGAAAATCAATCAATCGTTTGTAAATTGTCATAAGTGCATCTTGAAAATGTTTTCTCATTGCCCGCATATCAAGTCAAAATTGATAACACATAACATCAAATCGATCATCGTTTTATATACATTTTTTTTGGGTGTAATTAATATATATTAATACGTAGCCCTTATTTCTGAAAATGATTTGTGAAAAATAAATGGTATTCAATAAACTTTAATTGGTATTCAATAAAATGGGCGACACAGATTTTATAAAATATCTGCCAATTTAACTGGCAATGAATTTGAAACTCGTCTCTGAATTACATTTGGGCCACACAATCAGCACTTCAAACAGGAGCCGAGGCATAAATAAACAAGCAGAGGAAATTGCAAATCCCCAAATTAGCATTAGCTAATCAAGGTAACAAATGGCGAATGGCAAGAAGGGCAAGTGGGTGGAAAATCTTTGGGCAAATAGGACATTGTGCTGCGCAGCTGTGTGCGTTAAGTGCAATGTTAAGGTTTTGACCCGAGGCCCCAGGGAAGGGAATGCACTGTGTGTATAATATATAATCGAGAAGTATGCCATTTGGCATTCGAGGAGGCGAAATTAAATTTGACCGGCCAAGCGGCCGCAAACAAGCCGAGTCGAAAGCACACAAACAGCGATTTGCCAACATTTGCCAACTGCAGCTACATGGCTTGCAGTCAAATGCTCGTGTTCACCTGGTCCTGGCAAAAGGAGGCAAAAGGACCAAAGCTGAGCATCGCATCTAAGCCTGGCAGGGACCAATTAAATATTGAGAGAGACATTTGCCATTTCGTGCTCCGTTTGCAATTAGCCGTAATATTCTGCCGGATAAATGCTGGCACGTACCTACATACATACATTCGTATGAATAAGTATATGTGGACAATCAAGTGGACAATAATGCCATTTGCCGAATTCCATTGATTGGCACCTCCCCACAAGCTCCTAACCACCCCCTGCACCACAGACTTCAAAGCAATTTTGCCTTCACTCCAGCCAAAAGGTAAATATTTTATAGTCAACATAATCACATCGCACATCAAAGCCCCGAAAATCCGCAATGCCTGCCATCAATCGAGTTGGTAAATCAGGCCATATTTATTCGATTGAAAATCAAATTTTGATTTGACAGGTGGGCTCCAGAGGTGGTACTTAGAAATACTACACAGCCTTGAGTTGCAGTGTTGGTTTCGGTTGATTGAAACTAGTATTCAGTGAGGAATTGCATTGAGGTAATTTTTAATTTTTTATGTACTTACATATATCTTTTTTGGTTGGCTGGAAGGCAGAAACTAATGAATAAGTTAACTAATTTACGAACTGTGAATATTTAACATGGCTAAACAGATAATGGGGTTAATCAATGTTAATTATAGATAAGTGGGACTATATATCATGGGAAATGAGAGGTAAAATACAAATTAATTAATATTACAATTTGAGGCATCTTTCTGTGAAACTGGTTTATACCACTTAAATATTAAATATATCAACTACGAAGAGGTAAAATACAAACTAATTATTCCACAATGAGGCTTAATGTATACCATTCCGTCATTTAATATTCTCATAATTTATACAATTTATTGCCAACGATATTAAGGTGCACATTTACGAGTATTGCTATCCCAGGCCAGAGATAATATTGAGTGTGTGTGCAAACACTGTACCAAAGAATCAAATATCGAATACATGGGCCAAGACGCGGGCCCACAAATGAGTGGGGAGAGTCATCGTCCATATGGTCCACTACTGACCCGTGCAGGCCATCTGGTACATGAACTGGATAACTGTGCGCGTCGGACGACCGGTCATGCAGTCCTTCAGCAGGTAGGGCCTCGGGTTGATCTTGGTGGTCATGCCGGTGCCCCGGATGTCCAGATGGGCCCAGTCCACGCAGGGCACCAGCGAGTGCAGGATGGCGGCGGCCAGGCAGGAACTGGCAGGACCTCGGCCCGTGTTGCACAGATCGTAGGTGATGTTCTTGTTGACGATCTGCTTGTAGTACTTGAACAGCGGGAAGCGCCAGATGCGATCGCCAGTCAGGCCGCCGGACTTCCGGAAGTTCTGCCACACCGACTTGGAGGTGGTCCACAGTCCACTGGCTCCGCCACCCACCGCGTAGTTAACGCCCATAGCCACGGTTCCAATATCAATGACCAGTTTGGGCTTGAAGGTGGCCTGGGCGTAGAGCAGCGGATCCGCTAGCTGCACCACCGGCGCCTTGTCCACGTTCTTGATGCCCATTGTGGTGCCATTCAATAGGGTCACCACATCGCCGCACTTGACCGCCATTCCAGAGGGCATGTGTTCGCAGAGCGGCATCACGGCGGTGATGTTCATGGGCAGCGAAAGGGCGGCGGCGGCCCGCAGGACGCCCACACAAACAGCCGCTCCAGCCATGGCGCCTCGATACTTGTCCATTCCCTTCTTGGGCTTCAAACACAAGCCACCGCTGTGGAAGGTCAGTCCTTGACCCAAAAGCAAAACGGGACGATCCTCGGGCGAGGTGCCGCAGTAGCTGCATTCCAAGAGTAGCGGAGGCTCACACGAGCCCTTGGCGATCATCAGGAAGGAGTTCAGGTTCATGTCCTCGATCCAGTCCATCGAGCGAACCTCCACGGAGACACCGCAGGGACACAAAGCATCCACGGCGGCCTGGGCGAAGATCGAGGGCGTCATCATGTTGGCCGGCGTGTCCGAAAGACGACGGGCCAGATTCTGGGATTCGGCCTTGAACAAGCCACGCACCCAGGCATCGCGATCGCCCTTGCCGTACATGTCCAGCTTGGGGGTGTGGATGCGGTTCTTCTTCCTCTTGTTGGCGTTGTACCGCCAGACGGCCAGGGCCGCTCCCTCGGCCGCCTGCTCCGGATAGTCCATGGCGTCTACGTGGACCTCATACATACCCTGCAGCTGCAGGGCCCGGGCTCCAGTGCCCGCCGCCACCCGGACATTCTCCATGCCCTCGTCCAGCTCCTCGTTCTCGTTGTACGAGGCTCCCTGCTTGCCCACCCCGACGACGGCCACCGCCTGGTACTCGCCCTCGAAGCCGCTGAAGAGCAGCCCCTTGCCGGGCGTACCGTCCATTCCGCGCTCACGGATCAGGGTCAACAGCTTGCCGCCGAGCGAATCGTCCAGGGACACGGCATTCACGGTGGTCTTGGGCGGCTTGTCGCCATCCTTTGCGTAAACGCCCACCACCACGCCCTTGGGACTCTTGCAGGATGTCGCATAGCAGCGATATAACTCCGGAACACTCTGGCGACCCATCAACCGCAGGCCGGCACGCATTAATGACATATCCTTGTACGACGGCATCCTTCAATATCAATCAAATACGGAATAAACTATGCGGAAACACTGAAAATTTTGGACAACGCGTATCGCAACTATAGTATGAATACAAGTTTATTGGTCACTGAGCCACGTAACTCTCTAAATTTTTCAACAATTTTTTATTAACACTGAGAATTTTGGTATCGTATTTCTATTGCCAGCTCATCTGTGACCCGTACGACATGCTAAATAAAACTGAACTTTCCTGAGACGCAAGCCAGTTATTCGGATTGACAGGTCCCCAGGCCAGAAGTATGGATTACTTGGATCACTTTTTTAAGAATCATCTTTTATAATAGTGATTTCGTTTAGGCAGGCTCTGGAATTTTTCATTATCAGAAGCGGGTGTGCACTGAAAATTAACTTAACGTTTAGTTAAAATACATCAATTAACATATTAATTTAAAATTCTAAAAAATAATATAAAAATGGGGAAAAAATAAGGGATAATTCTATAGTCATCTAAATTAGTGTAAGGTTCGGGCACTGTTTGTGAATCGTCACTGTGAAGGAAGTAAGAAAAACAATTTTAAAAATTCCAAAACAATTCACAAAAACCTGATGAGTGTCCTAAACAGTAAAAACATAAGCTGTCTTTGGATCAAAAATGCATTGTAGAAGAAAATATTTTTATTTAATTCTTAAACGCTGTTCACAAATGATGATTTTTAAACTTTGCTGTGACTTTAAAATTTTGAATGCGCCCACCTCCTCTTGTGGTTGAGTTAGATTGAATTTTCCAAAACGACCGTATAAAAGAGACATGTAACTATTTAATTCCGAAAAGATTTCCAAAATTGGTTGACCACTCTTGAAGATATATCCCAAAAGCCGAAGAAAATTTGTGATTTTCTTAAATTAAAGATACCGCAAATACCAGAGCTGATGGACTATAGGCGTAGTGGCAACTTATGATTAGAAAAGCCTCATTTATCGAAATAAAATGGTGGCAGGCCTGGACACCGACCCAGGTCACATTTTGTCGGCCTGTGTAACTTTTTAATGAGTCCTTCGAATAAAAACATTTGTTCCATGTTTTGGTTGGAATTACTAAACAAATGAAAATACTTCAAACCCAATTTGAAAAATATGATTATTTTTCGGTTTGAAATCATTTTTGATCCTGTTAAATTTAAGTTTTTTTTGTATTTTACAGTTTTTTTAATTTACCCATTTTACACCTTATAATTTTAGACCCAAACTAATGCTTTTCCCAGTTCCTCACTAATATGCATTATTCTCATTTAAGCCGCGAGGAGATTGAGCTGCGCAGAAAGTCCTGTCGACGGCCAACTTCCCTGTCCAGGATTATAACGCCCTCGTCGCTATTTAAATGATAATGACAAAAGTGTGGAGAGTGCAAAGGAAAAAAATCATATGAATTTCAATTAAGTAGTCAACAACCGGGTCCGGAAGCTGGGCCCTGATGCTCCGGCCAAGTGCACAGCGATAATAATAACGGCGAGTGGAAATAATTAATTTTCCAAACCAGTGAGTCAACGCTAATTAAGCTTAATTTTTGGTGTTGCATAACTAATTAAGGTGGGAACAGTCGGCGGCAGCAGGCGCAATTTACAAGGAAGCTCCATTGTACAATATTATGCAACAATGTTACACTTTAATTCTATTTGTCTGCGGGTGGACAATCTATAATTGGAAAGTATGCTCACGCTTATCTCTGGACTATTTGAATATGGAATTCAATTTAATGTCGCCCGAGCGTAGGAATATGCAAATCTTTTCCCTGGCACCGCACCGACACACTCACAGATTCAGCTCGAATGTTTGCCTTTTGGCTTTGAGCAAGGTGAACCGAAGGGTCGACAAACACACAGGCAGCCCGAAAACCAAATTGGAAATTTGGTTATTTCTCGCCTTTGCGCTTGACCTGGCCGAAAGGCCGAAGTCCAGAACCACGACAAACTTTGTCTCCAACAACCTGGCCAACATACACACACACAGCTGCAATCGGGGGTGGCTAACTTTGCCCGATGTCCGGCTTGGGTTTCCTCGTTATAAAATATTTGCCCAAGTTGAATAGTTCAAAGTATTTGATTTAAAATTAACATTTGTCTTTGCGCACTCGCTCGGAATTATGCAATGTGTTCAGAGATAAGCAGAGTTGCAATGAAATTGAAATTATTATTATTTGCACAGGATTTCTCACACCCTCAGTTCAGCTACTATTATTGTTAAATGTTTGCAGATTTATCTGATGGTTTTCCTTACCCCAGAACCAACAATGGTAAAGCTTGGATAAACATTCAAAGTTATTCCAAAGAATAAATAAATAAAACCAACAATTATTCATATATTTTTAAGATTTACTAACACAAAGTTTCAAATAGAACCATTTAACCATTTTATAAATTATCCATGCAATTTAGTTATAAATAAAACACGCTGGGAAATTGTTTTTAATTTTAGATATTTTTTATTAAAATGTTTTTATCTCACTTTATTATAACTAAACGCTTAAAAACTAAAGATTTTTGCAAATTACCTTAAGTACATATAGTCTGAAGAGAGTGCATGACACTAAAAACCAAATACTTCCTACTAAATTGTTCTGTGGGCAAGATGGAAATGGGGTTTATGAAACTTATACACTTGATTTAGAGGTACACACACATAATACATATTAATGAACATTCGTTAGATATCGTGTACTATATAAGCTATGGACCGATTCGAGTTAATTATGTCGATGCACATTAGGCGAGTATTGCTTGTGATTGAGGTTTATCTAAGGATAGCTTCCGTAAGTTTAGAATTGTATTCGATTTAGGGCTGATTCATATATCCGTTTCGTATGCATGCATGTGTACAATCTCAATTTATGTGTCGTTATAGTACATTTATATGGGGCTCATGGCGATTATGTAGTTAGGCTGTTAATAAATTTATCAAAACTTAACATCACATTGCTTCTTCGATTACATTTAGGTCGCCATACTTATAAGGAAGCCTTGAAAGTTCAAAGTTAGGTTATATTATTTATATATATGCTGTTATACTGAAACTGATCCAAGTCTAGATTCAAATAACGATATGAATGTGCGATTCTGCGGCAGTTTAATATGTATCTCCATGTTCAATTATCGTAACTAACTATGGGTGTGGCGTATTTATAGTATTATATGTGATTCGATTTAAGTGGATGAAATGCACCTTATTGGGTGGAGCTGTGTCATGCGATAATACCCTAATGTCTAAGTCTAAGTCGATGAACGCATTGTAAATGCCTCGGTAAATGCATAATCCTTTAGGAAGAGTTTTCTGTTCATTGCTGAAGAAAGTATGTCTATGATGATGCCGGTGATAATAGTGATTATAATGATTCTCCTTTTTGGGTTCCGTATTCTGCGCTGGCATTATCCTCCTCGCATTCGATTTACTAAAACTGATTGGACGATGACGGCATGTTGAGGGCGAAACTCTGTTCGTGATATCAGACATTGGGCTTGCGGAAGATCTCATTCGGATGCTGATTGCTGCTAAAGTTCTGCCGTGTCGAGCATTGCTGTAAGCGAAAAAAAGAGGACATAAGGCACAAACAATTAGTAAATATAACATACATATAGGCCCCAAAGTGATTGCATTTTAATTACATTTCCATTGCATCTCCCACCCAGGTGGGCAATTACCTTGCATTTGGGTCACACCGCAGGTGGGGCGCCGGGATAATGACAACTTAACTACCTTACACCAGTTTTATTATTATTTTCCCTTTGATTTGACGTTGCGGTGTCAGTTTGGACAGCCGCCCGGCTTGAAGGCTATTAAAATAATTGCCAGTAAAATCGTTTATTATGGTGTGTGTCTGCCCTCGGCCCACCAGAAGCACCACCAACCTCGTTTCACCACAAACCCACCCCCGGGGGCATTGGTCCTCATTATCACTTACCGCTTGCTTCTTTTCCCAGGACTTCATTGCTGTCTTGTACTTCTCGAACTCGTGGCACCAGTCCGAGTAGATTTTCTGATAGTCATTACTCTTGTTCGGCGGAGTGCACCTTTAAAGAAAACATTGTTTGGAAACGATTATTATCGGGGTGTAATTGAATGGCGCTATGTTTTTTATAGCTCAAGATAAGCGACACGAATATTTTATTTTTTTTTTAGGATTTGAATTAATGTTCTTTCTTAGCTTACCTGTGGGCATCCACCGTGATGTTGTAGCTGCACAAAAGCGAACCTCCCAAATGGCAATCGTATCGACCGCCATCAGCTTCGTTCACCGAAACCACAACCAGGCCACGTTCAGTGGTTTCAATGTATTTGGTCGGCGAGTATCGAATCTCGTAGCTATGAAGGATATCCATACGATGAGGCTAACTGTCAATCAAACCAAACAAATTCCACTCACCGTCCCTTGTCCTTGGAGTGATGATACCAGGTCACCTGCTCGTTCTTCAGCACTTCGGGGATTTTGACAAAGCAACCCAGATGAACACTCTGGCCATAGGTCACCACAATCTTCTTTTTGAGCACACTCGAATCGCATATGTCACTCGTCTCGTTGGCCACATCCTGCAAGGGGTAAAGGGAAGTACGATAAAATCGGTTTTATCTTTGATTTTAATTTAAGTGATATGTGCAAACCTATTCTATTGATAACAACAAGCTTTAAGTCAACCTACCTGCAGTAAATCCAGCTCGTATGGCCGGCACGTATTGGCCTCCTTGTCCCAGCCGCAGTAGGGATCACGGACGCAGCGGAAGCAGTTGTCGTAACGGCGATTGCACATGGCCAGGTCGATTTGCTTGATGCGATGATCGGTGCCAATGTAGAGGCTCTTACGTGTCTGGCTGATTTCCATCACTTGGATGGCCTCGTTTGGTGCCACCTCGAAGATATCCAGCAGCTTGGACAGCGACTCTCCGTTGCGGTAGTATTGCACGATTTTGTAAATGCGACCCAAATTGGTGCCCACATAGTACACAATGTATTCCTGATTGAGGATGTCAATGCGGATTCTGAAAAAATGGGTTAAACACGCATATAAGTAACCTTGAATAAACCTTTTACTTTTAAAGCTGATTATGGCATTTACCATTGAGCCTTTTAATTTGTGAACTCAGAAAGGTTGAACTTAAATGCTTTCATTTGTAATTCATTTTAAATAAGCCTGGAAGTTGCAGCTGCTTTCTTTCACCTTTTCTTTTAATGCTTATATATTTTAATGTGAGCTTTAAA